TAGTATGACTTTTGCTTTACAATGTGTGTATATTAAACTTAGATTTCTACGGAAACGTAATAACATATCTATAAATTTAAATAATTTATTGTAGTTTTTGAACCTGAAACATCCTATGAGTATACTGTATTCGTAGAAACGTTCGCGGAAACAATTTTTCGCGTTTTTCATATAATGTACATTGTATAATGTTTAAGAAAAATAATGTTACATCACGCTTAGAATTTAAGCATGCCATCACACATGGATTCATTGTAAGAAAAAATAGTATTAAAGTGATATTGACAATAACTAAAGCTAGTGTCGATATTTTATATATCAAAGTGTGCTATTTGTTTGTCTAAGTATTTTATATTAAGTATAGGTTTGCTTTTCATTATCTCTCCAATATTTGAATCAAATAAACCAAAATAATGTATCATGAAGTTGTTATACATAGTTGAGTACGAAATTTAATACAAATTAAATAATGACGAGTATATAGCAGTCAAGCAGTGTCTGCCAAACAAGCCGTGCGTATATTTTTTATTGCGAGACATGGAGAAAATATTTTTACGCCTCAATATCCTATGTTGCGATTATTGTTAAATTAGAGAAACATACCTTGCTGAATTTAAAAAAACTTAAAAGAAAATATATTTTCGTTCATCAAATTTTATAGTAAAACAATCAGAATGTGTATCATGAATCGTAGTAATATACGTATATGGACTAGATTTGTTTTCTCCTTCTCTCTCTCCCCCTCTCTCTCTCTCTCTCTCTCTCTCTCTCTCTCTCTCTATAAAAAAAGTGTGTTAAATTGATATTAAATTCTTTGAGGTCATAAACTCAGATAATACGAAAAGATATTTAGATGCAGGAGAATCATTTTTCTTTGGAAATATGCGCCGCAATCTGCGATCCTTTTTCCCGAATTCTATGGTTTTGGTGGCTTGGACTCTTTCAATTTTTAAGTCATACGGGTAACCGAGGCGTATTTTGAATTAAGGCCAGTTCTAGCAAAGTTTCTCTAACGAGATCATCAGCATTCGCAGCCAATATCTCACTGCTAATGGATTGTTATAAACTTATATATGCAAAAAGTTATTTTATCAAGAAAAAATACAATTTTGTAGTAACATTTTTGAATGTAGGTTTTCAAATCTCGAAACATTACAACTTAAGTTTATGACAACAGAAGTGTCGTTAGATCAAGTCAGTTGAATGAATGTAAACACAGATACGTGTAAATTGTAATGCAGTAATTATTTTAATAGTGCGTTTAATAACATTCAACCTGTCTATGTACTCCAACAGCAAGTTTTAAATACCAAGATGTTCGTCTTCGTCTGTAGTTTCTGGAATGAAAATTAATAAGGCACATGTCTGAAGAGAACCTTAGAAATGCAAAACAGCATCCAAGTTGGCCACCGAGAATATTGTTTGTTGGCTATTTTTTGTTCCCACATAAATATTGCAAGTGAAACTTTGCACGCAAGTTGTCATTTAAAGTTTTTTATACGATGCAACTTAACTTTATGGAGAAAACATCTTGTTTATTTTTGCTTTATTCTACACAAATAAACAAAGTAAAGCTTAAATTCGCTATCTCTTTTATGAGTTTTTAGATCAGTACAAATGGATTGACAAATTGGGTTGTCGATTATTCTTATATGAAAGCATACTATCTATTGCCTAGATTCTATAACTTCGAACAAGACCTTTAACAAGGCTATTTCAAATAGCTTTTAACTGTTGATATATAGATAGATACTTTTATTTCCTCCAATATTTGAAGAGCTGAATATAGAGCTGGTATGTTTTTATTCTCGTATAGATATATATGGATTTATTCAGATTGAAAATGGATTATTTTTATAAGTATATCAATATTTGTCAATGTCGGGTATACTTTGATAAGATTTCATGAGAGTTAAATGTTAAGAAACAGCTGCTAATCAGTTCAGAAAATTTTATGACATTTACTGAAATCTTAAGGAATGCTAGGATGTTCTTTGCAAAATCGCTATGGGCATTGAAAATTCTTTCCAAACGAGATAAGCTTTCAAATCAGCATAGAAAAGAAAGGTAACTCTTAAGTACATATTGGAAGTACTTTCAGTATGGGCCGAGGAGTTCTCTCCCTTTTCATATAATTGCTCCTATAATAATATTCTCATCAGAGTGACCATACAGGCAACTTTATGATCTTATGTTTTACAATTTGTGATTGAAATGTTGTATGATTATGTTCTTTTATATGGATGAGTCTTTATTAAAGATGATATATGGACTTATATGCTAAGTCATTTAAAATCATTTAGATCTAATTGATGAAACATTAATGGAAGGTCACAAAATAGTAATGTTGACCTTTGAGGCAGGAGTCCGAGTGTTGCTCAGGGCACAATGTCTTAAAAATTATGGTGACATTTAGTCATTTCAAAATCCCTTGAAAGTCTATTTGATCAACCTGAAGATGAAAAAGTTATGGACCGGACACAAAATATGCATCGCCATGCATTCATTTTGTTTTAAACATGTAGATCTAGATCTAGCTAGCTATACAGTACTGTAAAATATTTTCGTTTATCGGAGGATTTCACCGAAACAATGAAATGTTTTCTTTGGATTCGCACATGATTCTAAAATAATCTTACAGTATATTTATGTAAAAAAATGCACGGTATGGATTACATGAAACTGACTGTAGAAAAAGCACTTTTGTGACGTAATAGAAATATGACGTCATCAAAAAACAGATACAAAAAAAAACTAAGATAATAATAATATTGTTTGGCAAACTGCTTTTTGTATGAAATTTATAGATACTATTTCTGAAATATGGCGTTTTTTAAAGGTAAGTAATCTTTAAAGATATCTAGTGCATGTAGATAGGCCTAGTCAAGGACATAGACTCAACATAAATACTGTGTTGCTCTTAAACATTTCTGTTTTCGGATACAGCTTTCTTTCTGGATAAAGATTGTTTTACTATGTGTAACTGTTTATCATTAAGCTGTAAAGTATGATGTTTGAAGAACTTTAATTTAAATATAACTTATTTGTAAATTTCAAATTGTAGAACATAATTATATCGTATCTAAAGCATCACTCTATGTACTGAGTACTGTACAAGTAAAATGGTTTCCTGCGGGGAACATTTTTAATGATAAAAAGATATTTCAATTTACTATTTTTTAACATTGTTTGGGGGGAAATAAATAAACGTTTGTATCAGGAATATAGTTGACAATCATCGATCAATATAGAAGAAGGTATTTGGAAACTGGTGACCGTTGATGACCGGAGAAGGTCGAACATAAAACAATTATTTCTTTTTAAGAAAATTATTAAATGTGCCTACCTTTTTAAGAATAATTCCGAGCAAAAAAAAAGTAAACACACAAGTTTACGCAGAAAAAATATCTCTATTTATTATGGCAGATGCCTCTACGAATATTTTAATTTTGTAGATTTTCAGTATAAACAATTTATTGTTTGTAAAATTTGAGATACAAATTAAAGAAACATTGATAATTTTCAAACACATCATTCAAGTTTTTCCACCTTAAACGGTAAAATAATTATAGAAAATTAGAAACATCACGTAATAATTTTTTGTTCTTAATTAGGTGTCATTTTTACTAATTCCCTAGGGACACGGCCTTGTCCATTTTCGCCCTTCTTTAATCTATAGTAAATCTGTCACATTTAAAGCTTCATTATGGACTTCTATTAAACTCAGCAGAATTCTGTATTTCATAACTTTAAACATCAACACTAGACAAGTTAGTCGAAGCCCGAAATGTCCTATGTTAGCCATCTAGATTTCACAATATTTCTTAATTTGTTAAGTCACTGTCAAATTATCAAAGTTTCAAATGTCATGTATGCTGGCGTGTAGTACTTCTCGAATCCTTCCACCTAGAAATGAGATCCTGCAGAATACACAAAAAACAACTTTTAAAGTCATCAGAAATGACACTAAATGTACACTGTTACAATAAATACACTTAAAATGGTAACCAGTCACATTAAAAATGACTTGAAATAGGGCACTTTCAAAATTTCAAAGAACTATTTTCTAGCCTACAACGGGCTGGGTCTAATTCCGTACCGGGTTGAGACCTAAATGAATCCAAAAATTTAAGTTAAGTCAAAATTTATACTCATTTCCTAGTAATTTATTGTTATACAAGTACAATTATATAGGTTTGACATGTCTGTAACAAATAACATTAATGCAGTACAATTTCTTACATATGAAACTTCATGCGAAAAATCAGCCTCGGCCAGTAGAATTTTACGCAAAAATTTATATCACAAATTCTGTCATATCTTTTGATTTTGTTGATGGATTTTCTTCAAATAAAGTTAACTGTTACCGGCTAATGCCATTTAGTTATTTTTATGAAAGAATAAGCCCTTATTGCTTACAAATTGTAATAATAACTCCATTTATTTTAATGAGGGCATGAAATTTTGGGTTAAAATACAAGTAATCACAATTAAATGTACTTTTTTCATAACTTTTTCTTTCAATTTTGCAATAAAACTTACTGATTATGATTTTTACCTATATAGCATGGTAAATAAAGTAAAGTACCAAGATATATACCCTACAAATTGTTTGCTTAAGATATCAATAAAGACAAAGTTTTACAGAGGTAATCTTAAGTTTAGCAAAGAGGTTACCATATCCCTATGGGCTATGTCTTCTGACAAAGTAAGATTAACCAACTCTCACCCAAATAAGGCTAAAAAATGATTGCACATACTGTCTCCCACTTTAAATCATTGAAAAGTCTTAAAATAGTCAAAATTAGAGAAATTTTCTCTGGATATACATCAAAATATCTACCAAATATTGTCCGAGCATTGGGAATTGTTGCCGTCAATAGCTGAAGTTTCAAACTGGACATAAGTTATTACCTTCTCATCTTGTCCTGACAAATCTGCTGCCAAACTGAGCTGAAGGAGTTCTTCCATAGATCTTAACCAGTATATAAGGTAAGGTCACCCCGGCTTTGGTAACTGCATGGTCTGAAAAAAAAAATGCAACACTAAAACACGTCGAAGGAAATTATAAGAGGCATTTGTGCTGTAATTTTGATATCAAAAAAAAAGGAAGAAAAACATTTCTTAATTAATCAATGGCTTGATTTGCTTTTTCACACAGGAGGGCTTAAATATTGTGTGCTTAAAATGCATGCCTGCATGGAAATAGCAGTTACGACATTATAAAGCTAACCTATTTTAACTGCTGTAGCAGCTGCTACAACAACAAGAAAAATCACATCAACTGTTTTATAATTCTAAATGAGCCAATTATCCATAAACTACACTGTTTAATGACTAGACCATTTTTTGTGTGTATAAATTAGCAATTATATACATTCTGCAACACAGCAAAACATCAAGATTCACTACACTGAAAATGCCTATATTTCCAACATGTAAATCGCATGTGTCATGTTCAATTGTCAGTTCTGCTTCATTGAAATACAAGACACTAGTGAATATTTACAATCTGATTACTGCAGCATCAACTCTTTGCTGAAACATCAGTGCATATAATGTGTGGTCCATATGAGCAATAGGCTACTATGGTGCTTGTTCGAATCCCATGGCCGGTGCTTCTTGGGCCCCTAAGACCTCTGGAATGAGCTTGCCAATCACCTTTTTGCCAATGTAACCCGCCTGAAAACATGCCCTCCCCAATTCCTTGCTATGCATGGTTTATCCATAATTTAAGATGCATTTCTCTAAAAAATATCATTTTCTACATAAATCTTATAAAAATAAGCTATAGAGCTAGTAAATTGCTAAACACAGGGTGCAAAAATAAAATTTACCAATTTATTAACTGCTTAAAAAAAATTTAATTTCATTTTTTAATTTTAAATTCATTTTTACAGTTTTAATTCAATAAAATGTGGTTAATCCTTCATGCAAAAGCTCTGCACCCTTCTTCTGCACTTATTCAGACACAGTAGCAGACATCTACATTTGAAGGGGAGACAACAATAACAACATCTGTCCCAATTTAAAATGTCAAAATTTAAAATTTGAAATAAAATTTAAATTTTTCAAACCTGTCAGTTATCCTTTATTTTCCTGATTTCTATTCATAAACACAACACTGATGCAAAGTTTCATCCATATCCATCAACCAGTTCCCATTTTTCATATTTCTTATTTAGGACACGGCCTTGTCCATTTTCGCCCTTCTTTAATCTATAGTAAATCTGTCACATTTAAAGCTTCATTATGGACTTCTATTACACTCAGCAGAATTCTGTATTTCATAACTTTAAACATCAACACTAGACAAGTTAGTCGAAGCCCGAAATGTCCTATGTTAGCCATCTAGATTTCACAATATTTCTTAATTTGTTAAGTCACTGTCAAATTATCAAAGTTTCAAATGTCATGTATGCTGGCGTGTAGTACTTCTCGAATCCTTCCACCAAGAAATGAGATCCTGCAGAATACACAAAAAACAACTTTTAAAGTCATCAGAAATGACACTAAATGTACACTGTTACAATAAATACACTTAAAATGTAACCAGTCACATTAAAAATGACTTGAAATAGGGCACTTCAAAATTTCAAAGAACTATTTTCTAGCCTTCTAATTCCGTACCGGGTTGAGACCCTAGAGGTAAATCCGTAACGTACCGGCAAACGGTATTTAGCCAGGTTTTCGAAAAGGTCAATTAACCAATCATGTACGGTTTACAGATCACATGCTCCTCCATGTACCGAAAACAGGTCACGTGTTCCTTCATACGCGTAACAATACCCTGCGGCTCCAGACCGGGAATAAAGTTATAAACACAGTGAAAAATATTCGTCAAAACAAGTCAAGAGGCGTACAGTATACAGTAGCTTGTAAAAACACATGTAAGATTCTAAACGAATATAAATCTGCACACAGTATTATCGGGGAAGATTTTTTCTATAGGAATTTGGACATTGAAGGGGACGTAATTTAAATCAATGTTCCCGATATGGTCATAACGAAAGAACAAGGGGGGGGGGGTCAGTTTCGGCCATTTTTTGCCGCACATGCATACAGTACAATAGTGACAATATTCATTTGTTTATAATTACAGTATACTTTAATTTCAGAAAAAAGTACAAAAGGATTTTGTAAGAGTTTTCCTGTTTTGGGCAGATAAGATCTTTAAATAATTTAAAAGATCACAGCAAATCTTTGTAAATTGAGAGATTTCTGACAGTAATGTATACAGTATAACCATTATGATTAAGTAGATTTTACAATACAAGGAAAATAACATATTTCAGGGATTTTTTGGCTTATTTTATAGCCGTTATTCCGCCCGGCAGTCAATGCGAAAGTCATTTTTTTCCAGCCACAAGGACTGGAATCCTTAGATTTATTTCCGGCCCTGATGATTTTTTCCCGGCCCGGACTCTGAAAGGTATTTTTTGTAGGGGTGGGGAGGGATATTGCCATAATTATAAACAAAAATATTTAGCAAATATGAATTATCAGACTCAACTATAAGATACTATGAAAAAAAATATACAGAAACATAATAAATAAAACATTAGCATACATTACCATTTTCGCCCTTCTTTAATCTATAGTAAATCTGTCACATTTAAAGCTTCATTATGGACTTCTATTAAACTCAGCAGAATTCTGTATTTCATAACTTTAAACATCAACACTAGACAAGTTAGTCGAAGCCCGAAATGTCCTATGTTAGCCATCTAGATTTCACAATATTTCTTAATTTGTTAAGTCACTGTCAAATTATCAAAGTTTCAAATGTCATGTATGCTGGCGTGTAGTACTTCTCGAATCCTTCCACCTAGAAATGAGATCCTGCAGAATACACAAAAAACAACTTTTAAAGTCATCAGAAATGACACTAAATGTACACTGTTACAATAAATACACTTAAAATGTAACCAGTCACATTAAAAATGACTTGAAATAGGGCACTTCAAAATTTCAAAGAACTATTTTCTAGCCTACAACGGGCTGGGTCTAATTCCGTACCGGGTTGAGACCTAAATGAATCCAAAATTTAAGTTAAGTCAAAATTTATACTCATTTCCTAGTAATTTATTGTTATACAAGTACAATTATATAGGTTTGACATGTCTGTAACAAATAACATTAATGCAGTACAATTTCTTACATATGAAACTTCATGCGAAAAATCAGCCTCGGCCAGTAGAATTTTACGCAAAAATTTATATCACAAATTCTGTCATATCTTTTGATTTTGTTGATGGATTTTCTTCAAATAAAGTTAACTGTTACCGGCTAATGCCATTTAGTTATTTTTATGAAAGAATAAGCCCTTATTGCTTACAAATTGTAATAATAACTCCATTTATTTTAATGAGGGCATGAAATTTTGGGTTAAAATACAAGTAATCACAATTAAATGTACTTTTTTCATAACTTTTTCTTTCAATTTTGCAATAAAACTTACTGATTATGATTTTTACCTATATAGCATGGTAAATAAAGTAAAGTACCAAGATATATACCCTACAAATTGTTTGCTTAAGATATCAATAAAGACAAACAGAGGTAATCTTAAGTTTAGCAAAGAGGTTACCATATCCCTATGGGCTATGTCTTCTGACAAAGTAAGATTAACCAACTCTCACCCAAATAAGGCTAAAAAATGATTGCACATACTGTCTCCCACTTTAAATCATTGAAAAGTCTTAAAATAGTCAAAATTAGAGAAATTTTCTCTGGATATACATCAAAATATCTACCAAATATTGTCCGAGCATTGGGAATTGTTGCCGTCAATAGCTGAAGTTTCAAACTGGACATAAGTTATTACCTTCTCATCTTGTCCTGACAAATCTGCTGCCAAACTGAGCTGAAGGAGTTCTTCCATAGATCTTAACCAGTATATAAGGTAAGGTCACCCCGGCTTTTGGTAACTGCATGGTCTGAAAAAAAAAATGCAACACTAAAACACGTCGAAGGAAATTATAAGAGGCATTTGTGCTGTAATTTTGATATCAAAAAAAAAAGGAAGAAAAACATTTCTTAATTAATCAATGGCTTGATTTGCTTTTTCACACAGGAGGGCTTAAATATTGTGTGCTTAAAATGCATGCCTGCATGGAAATAGCAGTTACGACATTATAAAGCTAACCTATTTTAACTGCTGTAGCAGCTGCTACAACAACAAGAAAAATCACATCAACTGTTTTATAATTCTAAATGAGCAATTATCCATAAACTACACTGTTTAATGACTAGACCATTTTTGTGTGTATAAATTAGCAATTATATACATTCTGCAACACAGCAAAACATCAAGATTCACTACACTGAAAATGCCTATATTTCCAACATGTAAATCGCATGTGTCATGTTCAATTGTCAGTTCTGCTTCATTGAAATACAAGACACTAGTGAATATTTACAATCTGATTACTGCAGCATCAACTCTTTGCTGAAACATCAGTGCATATAATGTGTGGTCCATATGAGCAATAGGCTACTATGGTGCTTGTTCGAATCCCATGGCCGGTGCTTCTTGGGCCCCTAAGACCTCTGGAATGAGCTTGCCAATCACCTTTTTGCCAATGTAACCCGCCTGAAAACATGCCCTCCCCAATTCCTTGCTATGCATGGTTTATCCATAATTTAAGATGCATTTTCTCTAAAAAATATCATTTTCTACATAAATCTTATAAAAAATAAGCTATAGAGCTAGTAAATTGCTAAACACAGGGTGCAAAAATAAAATTTACCAATTTATTAACTGCTTAAAAAAAATTTAATTTCATTTTTTAATTTTAAATTCATTTTTACAGTTTTAATTCAATAAAATGTGGTTAATCCTTCATGCAAAAGCTCTGCACCCTTCTTCTGCACTTATTCAGACACAGTAGCAGACATCTACATTTGAAGGGAGACAACAATAACAACATCTGTCCCAATTTAAAATGTCAAAATTTAAAATTTGAAATAAAATTTAAATTTTTCAAACCTGTCAGTTATCCTTTATTTTCCTGATTTCTATTCATAAACACAACACTGATGCAAAGTTTCATCCATATCCATCAACCAGTTCCCATTTTTCATATTTCTTATTTAGGACACGGCCTTGTCCATTTTCGCCCTTCTTTAATCTATAGTAAATCTGTCACATTTAAAGCTTCATTATGGACTTCTATTACACTCAGCAGAATTCTGTATTTCATAACTTTAAACATCAACACTAGACAAGTTAGTCGAAGCCCGAAATGTCCTATGTTAGCCATCTAGATTTCACAATATTTCTTAATTTGTTAAGTCACTGTCAAATTATCAAAGTTTCAAATGTCATGTATGCTGGCGTGTAGTACTTCTCGAATCCTTCCACCAAGAAATGAGATCCTGCAGAATACACAAAAAACAACTTTTAAAGTCATCAGAAATGACACTAAATGTACACTGTTACAATAAATACACTTAAAATGTAACCAGTCACATTAAAAATGACTTGAAATAGGGCACTTCAAAATTTCAAAGAACTATTTTCTAGCCTTCTAATTCCGTACCGGGTTGAGACCCTAGAGGTAAATCCGTAACGTACGGCAAACGGTATTTAGCCAGGTTTTCGAAAAGGTCAATTAACCAATCATGTACGGTTTACAGATCACATGCTCCTCCATGTACCGAAAACAGGTCACGTGTTTCTTCATACGCGTAACAATACCCTGCGGCTCCAGACCGGGAATAAAGTTATAAACACAGTGAAAAATATTCGTCAAAACAAGTCAAGAGGCGTACAGTATACAGTAGCTTGTAAAAACACATGTAAGATTCTAAACGAATATAAATCTGCACACAGTATTATCGGGGAAGATTTTTTCTATAGGAATTTGGACATGAAGGGGACGTAATTTAAATCAATGTTCCGATATGGTCATAACGAAAGAACAAGGGGGGGGGGTCAGTTTCGGCCATTTTTTGCCGCACATGCATACAGTACAATAGTGACAATATTCATTTGTTTATAATTACAGTATACTTTAATTTCAGAAAAAAGTACAAAAGGATTTTGTAAGAGTTTTTCCTGTTTTTGGGCAGATAAGATCTTTAATAATTTTAAAAGATCACAGCAAATCTTTGTAAATTGAGAGATTTCTGACAGTAATGTATACAGTATAACCATTATGATTAAGTAGATTTTACAATACAAGGAAATAACATATTTCAGGGATTTTTTGGCTTATTTTATAGCCGTTATTCCGCCCGGCAGTCAATGCGAAAGTCATTTTTTTCCAGCCACAAGGACTGGAATCCTTAGATTTATTTCCGGCCCTGATGATTTTTTCCCGGCCCGGACTCTGAAAGGTATTTTTTGTAGGGGTGGGGAGGATATTGCCATAATTATAAACAAAAATATTTAGCAAATATGAATTATCAGACTCAACTATAAGATACTATGAAAAAAAAATATACAGAAACATAATAAATAAAACATTAGCATATTAAATTCACAAGAAAGCGATACATCTTTCAAAGGTTTAATTTTGAAGATTGGAGAAAAAACATGTTTTGGTAAGGAAATTATCCAAGACAAGATGGTGGCTTACATTACTTAGCAAAAACTGGTTTTATCTTGCGGTGATTTTGGTTATCTGGGTCTGTGAGTACAAGCAAAAATGAAAAAAAAAAGATCGATCTTGGAAGTTTTGCATATTTTAGAAGGCCAAAAATTGTTTCAAACTGGCTGAAATTTTATTCGGACATGAGGACTGACTGTATCACAATTTATCTCGGCCCTCCTGATTTTAAGTTGGCGAGGTCCGAGGACCGACAGACTTTCCCCACAGAATAATTCGGTCATATTCCCAATTGAAAATAGTATATTATTTTCCCAATCAACAGGAAAAGGTTCCCAATTGAAAGTTACAAAATAATTTATTCATTTAATCACTGCCAAATTTAAGTCATGCATTTTCCCCAATTTTTTAACAAATATTTATGAAATTCCCAATTCCATGGGTATGGGTCAATGCGGGTCATGTTCACCAAAACCTGCATTTTTCTATACACCTCACTCTATATCAATATATTTATCATGATATAATCATATTAAAAAAAATAAGTTAACAATAATAATAATAATAAAATACGGGTATATACTCGCTCCTGTTATAATATTTAACTGGAGTCATCGCATTTACTTGCATAACAGAGGCTTTTAAAAGGCCACTTCCTAAAAGAACTTTTCTTTGAAATCAGTCAGATTTCCTAAACATTTTAACTTAACCAGCTTTTTCATTTCCCAAATTAGCAATTTTAACGATTGTTTTCCCAAATCAATAAGCTGTCCTCTTTCCAATTAAACCACTGATTTAACAACAACAGCAACAACAACAAAATAAACAAACACACAAACAACAACAACAAAAAAAAAGAAAAAAAAAAGAACAACAAACAAACAAAGGAAAGGAAAGAAACGAGGATGACCCTCGAGACGACAGTAGACCTCTCAGTTCATTTTTGTCATAGTTGCCCACTGACACTTAGAGATTATCTACCTATAATTACGAGGTTTGATCAAAAAGTTCTTTCGGTAGTCAGAGAACCCAACTAATAGTCTTACTTTTCAATATAATCGCCGCTCTACACCACTTTTGCCCACCTGTGCTCCAACTTGTTTAACTCTTCAAAATAGAACTCTCTATTTGGTCCTCAAAGAACTAATTGACCGCCTCCATGACGCCTTCATTGCTTCCAAAACGTCTACCACGAAGCTTGGTTTCCAGTTTCGGAAACAGGTAGAAGTCAGAGGAGAATATGGGGGATGGGGAAGAATTTCAAAACCGCAGTCAGTTGCAGTAGCCATCGCAACTTGGGATGTGTGAGCTGGCACATTGGCATACAGGAGCAGAATGCCTTGAGTCAGTTTGCCCCTCCTTTTACGCGCGATTTCTTGACGCAGACATCTCAATTCGTCTGCATAGTACGTACCGTTTATGGTACGACCTTGCTCAAGATAGTCAATCATGATTATCCCCTGACTATCCTAAATAAATTGCTGATGGCACCCTCTTGAATTTCTTCGGAGGACTCAGGGGGTAGGCCAGGGTGCTTTCACTGCATTCTCTGTATCTCGGATCGATGTGATGGACCCATGTTTTATCCTGAGTTTTATCCTGAGTTACGATCCGGTAGATAAAATGAGGTTCATCTTCGCAGTCTCGCCTTCTGTCGTACATGACCAGATCGTGCACAGCTTCGAAAGTTTCATCGTTGGTGGCCTCTTTACACGGTTCTAATCGTCACTGGACCCGTCAAATTCGTACATAAACATATCCCAATTGCATCCGAATTATTTTTACCCCCACTTTTCTAAATGCCATTCTAATTCATCAAGAATATAAAAAAAAACAAAGACAAGAAAATAAAAACACTCCGGCTTAAGTGACTTACACACACCGTTCCTTGATTGGTATCAATTGCCATTTTAATTACTTAACAAGGCATTATAATTCGGTATCTGTTATACTGATACATTGAAAGGCAAATCGGTGTACATGTATACTCTACTAACACTGAAACTAAGGTACAACTTGTCATGCTATAGTATATAAGTAATTAGATAAATGTATTCCAAATCAAAGAAAAAATACATTAAATCTAACGAGGCTTTGCCTCATTGCAGTCTGACTTGTTCTGGTATTTACTATTATCTGTACAGAAAAGCAATGTTAAAGGGTTAAATAACACGAACTATTTTCCTTCTTAGTTCTCAATTCGTTATCTTTTTTTAAAATAAGTGACCAAACACAACAAACCACAAAAAATGAAAAAAAAAGAAAGAAGAAAAGGATCGTTTCGGTAACTATGTAGGAATCTATAAGATGGTATCAAATATAAAGACTTTTGAGTAATAAAAATAAAGGCAATTAGGGGCAGAATTGGCGTACATTGTGAGAATATCATTTTCGGATGTAGATCAACCATGTTTTTTTTTCAATTAATTAATTAATTTATTTATTATTTTGCTTCAGCAATACCCAGTCTTCCATTATTTCCGGCGGATGACAATAAAGTGTTCAGCCACGTTGGTCTTGAAAGAATACACCAGGAAGTACAAACAGACCAATCATCGCACGTCTACGTGTCACGTGATGTGTTTACCCAATCAGATATAGATACGTTATATGAAGGTGCCAGGTCACAAAATGAACCTGAACAGAAGCGCGGAAAATGTCATGTACGAATTCTTTGCACAAAGGCAAAAGATTTTCCACCTAATGTTTTCTTCCTACCAATCGTAACAGTCCTCCAGAAATACTGTTTTGATTTCAGGAACAAGATTATTGGGTTAGTTAAAATATTTTAATAGTATCTTCATTTTAATGCGTTCAAACATAAATTTTCTCGTTTATTGAGATCATTCACTCTAAAGCAAAAAAAAAAAAAAAAAAACACACACACACAAAACAACAAAAAACGTTTAAGCTTATGAATTTCCATTTTCCATATACGTACCAAAGTATACTTTGTATATGTACTGTACGCAATCTATACGTTGATACAAAAGAGAAAAGAAATCAAACGCTCGGCAATCTGATAAATAATCGGGGCTACGCCCCCACCCCGTACAAATTCAGATAGCCTCGGTGCTTCGATGCTCATTCTAGTTACTAATTATAACATTCAGTATTACTTTCATTAGGTATTAAACATCTGACACGCTCAAAAATGAAAACTTATGTTCGTACTTTATGATAAGAAAGGAGAAATCTACTCGTTTTCTGAGGGCCTAATTTGCGTAGATGATCGAAGACTATGAGAGTAGGCAGATTTTAAGTGAAGGCCAATGTGGGTCATCGGCACCTCGTGTCTGAGTTATTTGTCTGTTAGTTCATCCAGGCAGATAACTTGTATATACGTCAGACAAACCTTATTTTTTACCTTTTCTTATCATTTTCGTTTATCCTTGGTGCTTTATACAAAATTCCATGCAATTTCCATTTACATATTTTCTTATTCATTTTAAGTAGATTTTAGAGACTGAAAAATTAAAGAAGACTACTCAATTTCAATTCTTGAAATTCAACAATAATCACACAAATTGACTAAAAGAAAGTCAACTATGTATTTGAAATGCAGAAAAATAAGGCATTGAGTTATCTGCCCTTTCGAATTATTTGCCCTTGAAATAAGCAAAATATTTAAATTCAATGGCACATAAGCCAACAAACGAGGAAAGTGATCAAAATTATACGCTAGAAATGTTTGTGTTTGTCATACAAACTGGAGTTTAAGAGAAGTTCTGTCTGCTATATGCTCATATGTAAACCCTATTGTACGTCTTTAAATTAGAAAAATACATACAAATACTGTCTTATATATTTTGTTGTTATTTAGTTGTTGTTTTTTTTTTTTTCAGGAGATTTTATTGGGTGGGATTTCTGTAGCCTGTTT